CCATTCCCAACCATTCCCAGCCATTCCCACAATTCCTGCTCAGTGTCCCTGGACCCCACCCATTCCTTACCTCTCCACCTCCTCCTTGCCCAGGCCGTACTGGGGGCCCTGCCTGCCCGCCCTCTGCTCCGGGAGCTTCTCGCTGCCTCCTCCTCCTCCTCCTCCTCCATCCAGCTCCTGCTCCAGGGAGGAGCCGGTGCTCCCCTCCCTGCTGACGTTGCTGCTCCGCCCGGGGCTGTTCTCGGTGGACGCCCGCGGCGACTCCGTGTTCTGCTTCAGGGTCTGCAGCTTGGCCAGGGGGATGATGTCGCAGTTCTGGGGCCGGTGCCAGACGGTCCTCTGGGTGGTGGCATTGTAGTAGTAGAAGCGGGAGGTGTTGGGGTCGAAGAGCTCCCACCACTGGTTCTCGTTGGTGCGCTTGATGCGCACCCCGGCCGGCGGGTCCCACACGCACTCGCCCGTCAGCAGGTTGGCGTACATGCGCTCCCGGGTGCGAGGCTCGATGATCTCCACCCATTCCAGCCTGGAAAACGGCCCGAGGGGAGAGAGGGAATGTCAGACAGGAAGGGGAGGGACCCTTCCCACCAGAACCACCCGGTGATCCGAGATCAAGGTGAGTCACCAAGGTGAGGGGAACAATTCCTGCCTCCCCTTTCCATCTCCTTGGCTCTGTCCCACTTTTCCCCACTAATCCCACTTTTCCAAGGGTTTCCAAGGGTTCCCATGCGCTCCCGGGTGCGAGGCTGGATGATCTCCACCCATTCCAGCCTGGAAAACGGCCCCGGGGGGAAAGAGGGAATGTCAGACAGGAAGGGGAGGGACCTTCCCACCAGAATCGCCCGGTGATCCGAGATGGAGGTGAGCCACCGAGGTGAGGGGAACAATTCCTGACTCCCCTTCCATCTCCTCGGCTCTGTCCCACTTTTTCCCACTAATCCCACTTTTCCAAGGGATTCAGACCAATCTTTGCTTCCCAGCTCCCACAGGAGTTCAGCAGCCCCTTCCAACCAACGATTCCACGACTCAAGACGGACACGACCAACCTCAGTGAGCAGAACAACAATTCCTGACTCCCCCTTCCATCTCCTCGCCTTTATCCCACTTTTCCCCACTTTTCCCCACTAGTCCCACTTTTCCAAGGGTTTCCAAGCAATCCCTGCTTCCCAGCTCCCACAGGAGTTCAACAGCCCCTTCCAACCAACGATTCCACGACTCAAGACGGACACGACCAACCTCAGTGAGGAGAACAACAATTCCTGACTCCCCTTCCATCTCCTCGGCTCTATCCCACTTCTCCCACCAATCCCACTTTTCCAAGGGTTTCCAAGGGTTTCCAAGGGTTCCCATGCGCTCCCGGGTGCGAGGCTGGATGATCTCCACCCATTCCAGCCTGGAAAAGGGCCCCGGGGGGAAAGGGAGGGGAGAGAGGGAATATCAGTCACGAGGTCCCTTCCCGCACGAACAGCCCGGTGATCCGAGATGGAGGTGAGCCACCGAGGTGAGGGGAACAATTCCTGACTCCCCCTTCCATCTCCTCGGCTCTGTCCCACTTTTCCCACTAATCCCACTTTTCCAAGGGATTCAGACCAATCTTTGCTTCCCAGCTCCCACGGGAATCCAGCAGCCCCTTCCAACCAACGATCCCACGACTCAAGACGGACACGACCAACCTCAGTGAGGAGAACAACAATTCCTGACTCCCCCTTCCATCTCCTCGGCTCTGTCCCACTTTTCCCCACTTTTCCCCACTAATCCCACTTTTCCAAGGGTTTCCAAGGGTTTCCATGCGCTCCCGGGTGCGAGGCTCGATGATCTCCACCCATTCCAGCCTGGAAAAGGGCCCCGGGGGAAAGGGAGAGAGAGGGAATGTCAGCCAGGAAGGGGAGGGAGTGAAGGTCCCTTCCCACACAAACCAAGATGGAGGTGAGTCACCGAGGTGAGGGGAACAATTCCTGACTCCCCTTCCATCTCCTCGGCTCTATCCCACTTTTCCCCACTAGTCCCACTTTTCCAAGGGTTTCCAAGCAATCCCTGCTTCCCAGCTCCCACAGGAGTTCAGCAGCCCCTTCCAACCAACGATTCCACAACTCAAGACGGACACGACCAACCTCAGTGAGGAGAACAACAATTCCTGACTCCCCCTTCCATCTCCTCGGCTCTGTCCCACTTTTCCCACTAATCCCACTTTTCCAAGGGATTCAGACCAATCCCTGGCTTTCAGCTCCCACAGGAGTTCAGCAGCCCCTTCCAACCAACGATTCCGCGACTCAAGACGGAGACGACCAACCTCGGTGAGCAGAACAACAATTCCTGACTCCCCCTTCCATCTCCTCGGCTCTGTCCCACTTTTCCCACTAATCCCACTTTTCCAAGGGTTTCCAAGGGTTTCCAAGGGTTCCCATGCGCTCCCGGGTGCGAGGATGGATGATCTCCACCCATTCCAGCCTGGAAAAGGGCCCCGGGGGAAAGGGGAGGGGAGAGAAGGGATGTCAGCCGGGAAGGGGAGGGAGTGAAGGTCCCTTCCCACACAAACGAAGATGGAGGTGAGGAACCAGGGTGAGGGGAACAATTCCTGCCTCCCCTTCCATCTCCTCGGCTCTGTCCCAAGGAAAACCCTTGGGAAGGGTCACCCTGCTCGGCCCGGGATGTTTTTCCCCTTTTCCGGGAAAACCTTCAGAACAAGGAGCCAAACGTTTCTCGCCCTCCCTTCTCCCAGCGTCCCTTCGGAATTGCCGCGTCCTTCCCAGCCCGGAGGACACGGGGAGAAGATCCCAAAAAATCCCGGAGGCTTCGAAGAGCCCCCTCAGGAGCTCCTTCGGCTCCGTCTCCTTTCCTGACGCTCCCGATCCCGACTCCGCGGGGAGGGCTCGTCCTGCACCATCCCCTCGGAATTCCAAGGGAAAAAGGGGCCCCTGGGAAGCCACCGGAGAGGAGATAACGCGACAAAAGGGCCTCGGGATGAGCCGGGGGCGGGAATCAAAGCGGGAAAAGTCTCCGGGTTTGACCCCGAAGCTCCTCAAAGGCGCTCCCGGAGTCCTGATGATCCCAAATCCCTGATTCAGGGATTTCGGGAGCTCGGAAAGGTCATGGGTTGGGGGATCTGGGCCTCGGAGGAGGTTGGGTTTGAGGGAAGAGGGGACGAGGACGGGATTGTCTTTTCCCGAGGAGCGTCGGGGCGGGAACGGCGGCGGGAGCGGGAGGAGCCGAGCGGGACGGTTATCCCTCGGAAAAGGGGCGGGAAGACGCCGTGGGATGAGCCGGAGAGGGAGAAAGGAGGTGTCGGATCCCGGGGAAAAGGGCCCCGGCATTCCCAGGACAACCTGGAAGGTTCCGAAGGAATTTCACCAATGGAAGGAATCCCGGAGAAGCCCCGGGAGATCCGTCATTCCAGGAGGAGAACTCCGTGATCCCTTATCCATGTTTTTTTTGGATTTCCAGCCCCAAACCGGCGGGTCCAAATCCCGCTTTTCCAGTTTCCTTGGAAGAGCCTCGGCACCGGGGGGAACGCCGGGGCAGTTTTGGGACAGGGAGAGTCGACGTCCCGGGACGGGGTTTCCGCTCCCTCCCGTTCCAAGCCAAACCATTCCGGGATTCCACGACCCCAATCCCGAAATTCCACCGTTCCCTGACCGATATCCTTAAATTCCCACCCATCCCGAGGGGGATTTTAAGGGGAAAAACCCAAAAAAAAAAGCCCCG